ATTCGCAATAGAGCCGCGTTCGTCTCCGGCCGGCTACACAATTTAACTAACGCTAACAGTAAAATGCCCTTAAGGCACAAATTATCGACGAAACGTCCTCATCGACCCGGTCGACGAAGAGGACTTAGATACGATGGACCCACCGCCGGGGGTCCCGCCGGATAACACTACACCCACAGTTAGTGTAACAACAATCACACCAGTTCGCCCTCGCCTCCGAGCACGGCGAGACCCACACAACGCGTACACAAGGTACACCTGCGTTCCGGGGCGGTTCTCACCGCTCCCAACCACCGATTAGCTAATTGCACAGTCGACGACCATCGGGGTTTCGGTCCGAACCACGACCTCGATGGCCCTTAGATGACACACCGTAGTTAAACGCACGCATGAGCACATGCGTGGCCCTACCCACAGCGGAGGGCCCAAACCCTTGGGTTCTGGCTAGCCCACCGGTTCTGCGTCAGATGAAGCTTTAATAGTCTCGGGACTGAAAGCAAAAACATCAGTTAATACAAGATACAAGATACAAGACTGTGTGACTGATTGGTACACCGAAGAAAATCTCAATATGTTTTATCTGTTTATTTTTTTCACATTTCAAGTAATGCATCTGGCGCATCTATTGTTATCTTAGCAGACATTTCAAACATTGTTTTACGACGATAATTCGTTAACACAAAAAAAATACATTTACGAAAACAGCATTAATGATACAGTACCCGGAAGACCGCTGTTCGGTTTGTTTTTTTTTTTTTTGGTAAATAGTGTATTTTGGAAATTAGATACAAATTACTGCGTAATGAAATATGCATAATATTTTTCGATCTTACCGACATAATAATAAGAAAATATGAACTGATGTTTTTCACAAAAGAAAGAACTTTAAAAAAAAGCCTATTACCGACCGAGCTATTATGACATTTTCTCTTGCGGCGAAATTTAACGTTATATTCTTCATTCCCTGAAAACAGGGATAAAAGGACATTTTCTAAAAATGAAACCTAGCTAGATCGATTTTTCGCCCCCGAATCTATGCACATACTAAATTTCATGAAAATCGCTGGAGCCGTTTCCGAGATTCCGATTATATATATAGCGACCCGCCCGGGCTTCGCTCGGGTGCAATGTATTATACATATAAACCTTCCTCTTGAATCACCCACCTAGTAAAAAATTATTACAAAATAACAAATATTGACATTAACATTTACACGATACTAACGTCACTCAATTATTGTGTTGCCTTCCCACCCCAAACCCGTTCACTAACACTTTATGGTATGGTACTAAAGTTCAAATTGACTTTTAATTGAATCTTTTAATTGAACATCTATTTACTTTATATAAAATTACACTCGTCCTAATGTGCGTAATTTTGCTATTAACTTGCGACAGGCGTTAACATGCCTCCGGGTGTTGAAAGCAGCACTGTCAGACTTTGATTTATACTATGTATAAATCAAAGTCATGTATTTATATACACAACAATGGTTTACTTTCACAAAGTTATGTGTGTACAGGACAAAATTTTGTAGTGCTAATCTCTGCGCTTAAGATTAAACGAAAACATATTTCGCCACTGCGTAAATCGAATCCACGTCTTCCGGATTCGCGCCCTTAACCACTAATCTAACGGCCGATTAAAAATTACAACACAGATGAAAAACATTTTACATACGGTACTTTTGTCGCGTCTGTTGTTATCTCCTTTACAGCAGACAAACAATCTATACATTAAATAAAAATGTAACTGATCGTTGTGTCTACATGGAAGATATTTGAGAAAGACTATTACTGGGGGATATATATACTATATTAGGACTATTACTATTATTGGGGGCGTTTATCAAATAGAACGTAAAACAATTATTGTTAAAATTTTTGTTTGTTTGTCATTGCACGAGGTGTTCCGTAGGTACTTTCACTTGTTTATCGTGCTTCTTGGCGGTCTGTGGGGGAGGCCTATGTTCTGTAGTGGACTCAAACAGGCTTAAATGGTGAATAGTTATGCATATTATAAGAAATATATTACCATATGCAATTTATTTGTTTAATATATGACAAACAGCTATAATTATGTGTAAGTTAGATTCTAACGGATGGTGGTGTAAGGTCGGCTTGATTGAGTAAGTATGCAATAGATGGCGCTATGTTAAAAGTCCAAACGTATTGACCCGGTAGGTGACTATCAAGGATCACTGCAATCAGGTTCTAGGTATTTTTTTATTTTTAGTCATATATACTACTAAGGAGGAGTCGCGGAGAAGAGGAATGTCGGTATTGCGTTTGGCCGCGCCCTAACCTCCGCGACTCGGCGGGGCTGCACCGCTGATGCAGTGGTGGTGGGGCCGTGGGGGGAGTGGAGTGTTGGTATTGCGGTGCGCTATTCTCCCTACCCTCCGCGGCCGAAACGTGGTAAGCCACAGAACAGGTCCGCCACTGGGGGCTGGGAGGTTTGCTGCTTATTGGCCACTGGTCAGCGAACTCGAGGGAGTTCGTTGGCCATGAAAAAGGGGCTTAGTAGGAAGGCGTGCTGAATGTTCCAGCGCGCCTTACCTGGTGGAGAGCGGAGTTTATCCCTGGGAGGGGGCTGCTGAGGCGGCCAGCGCTGGCAGGGTCACGGAAGTGTGTCCCCGTGGCCCTGCCGATATGCGCCTAGGTGGAACATCGAAGGGGTTTTAGTCGGTGCGAGAGATATAATCCGGTTATGCGTAGGCATTTCCCCCACGTAAACAAAAAAAAGGTAAGTGAAGTAACAAAAAAAATTATACCTAACCAGATAGGTGCAGCATTAAATACCATAAATTAATATAAAGACAATATTTTGATTCCTAACTAATGCGTAAATGTTACACATCATACAATCATACGCATGCAAAAGATTTATACAATATTACTTTTTTTTTACTTTTGAAAGTATCATAATTAATGAACTTTTAAAAATATAAATATATGCATATTTTAATTAAATTCCTTTTTTCATTTTTGCAAAAAATGTTGCCACTAATAATATAGTCGCCTTATTTCTTTTAATGTGTAGTATGCCTCACTTCATTCTTCTTTAGGGATGCCGAAAGTCAAGAAATATATCGATATGTTGACATTTACAAAAATAAAGTACCTGGAGGAACGAGCTTCGCTCGATTTTTTTTGGTAAATCATGTATTTTGGAAATAAAAAATATAAAAAATAAAGAAAATGATCTAAAAAAGTAAAAAAAATGAGTTTGGAAACGATCGTGATACGAACCTCGGCCGTCTGTTTTGGGGCCGCTCTATTACCGACCGAGCTATTATAACATTTTTTTTCGGCGAAATGTACTGTCATATTTTAATGATATTTTTCATTCCCTGAAAACAGGGATAAAAGTACATTTTCTATAAATCCTAGCTAGATCGATTGTTTTCCTCGAATCTACGCACATACAAAATTTCATGAAAATCGCTGGAGCCGTTATATATATATATTATATACAAGAATTGCTCGTTTAAAAGATAAGATATGGCCCTCGATATATCGAAATTTTTTTATTATTGCAAAATCACACTATTTTCATGTATGAGAAATCTTAAAAAAACAAAGATATGTTAATGATTAATTATTTGTTAATTTTAATCAAATTTCTTTTTAATCGATTTCAAAAAAGGAGGAGGTTACTCAATTCGACCGTACATATATTTTTTTTATGTGTGTTCGGGAATAACTTCGTCATTTATGAATCGAATTTAATGATTTTTTTTTTGTTGGAAAGGAGATATCCTAAGGGTGGTACCATGATAAAGAAATCCGGATCTGAAGATGGCATCTTCAGAGAAATCGAGGGCAATCCACAAATGTTATAAGCGTAGACATTGTTTTTTTTAGTTTTCTGTTTCAAGTCGGGTTTTTTTTGTTCAAAATTATCTTGTATTAATCTAAATTTCTAGGTATATTATTGAACAAGACCTTCATTGCAAATCCAACACTGCATCCACGACAATACTGGTCATAGACAACAGTATTTGAAGTGAAAACTTCTTTTAGCGCGGTACGCATATTTTTAGATGAGATAAAATCTCTGGACTCAACACTTGCCGTATATACATAGTACTCTGTTCTCAAGATACCGTTACGAGACGCAGCTATAGTGTGTCTTCATTGAATTTTTGAATAGAGAATTTGATTTTACTATGTCCAATCAACGCAATGTTAGCAAAATGCGATATAAAAGTACAATTAATGCGGTATTCACGAGATATTTAAATATCTTCGAAATTGTTTATTTATCTAAAAAATGTCTAAAAATGTCTAACGCGCCAAAACAATAATTTTTCACTTCTGTCGGCACTCCCGAAGTACCCGTAATTATGTTTGAAGTTATACTTCTTTTTGCGCTTCATTTATCCCTAAATGATTTTAATAAATTTTTACGATGCGCGCGCACACCGTCACGAAAAACCGACGCCCTGAAGTTAGCTAGACATCTACGTATGTTTGCGTGAGAAATGACAAGTATACAATGCGCGCGCACACTAACATCCAAAAAGCGATGATGAAATTGGTTGCAAAGCGACTAACTTCGCAATAGCAACCAATAACAACTTTTTGAGGTTTACCTATAATTCCAAGTTATCTAATTAAACCGTTATCATTTAATGTCCTTTTCACAAAGAGTGCTGGCACAGGGTATAAAATTTTTAGTTCTTTTCTTTTGTTAGGTACGTTAAAGAAGTATAACTTCTTACGTCCGTACATAAGTATACAAATGTTTTTTTTTTTCGTTAATTTTTATCTTTTACGGCTTTGAATCTGTTAATATTCAGCTGAATTAAATTTGAATAAATATATCGTTTTAGATATGATTTTGATATTCAATTTTTTTATATTGATATGTCAGATTAAGGTATATCGGCTAAAAATTTGGATCTATTTAAAAAATATATCGATATTTTTCGGCATCCCTACGTCTACTTCGGCTCGTTCGTTGCAATCGAATCAACCGCCATTTCATTTCAATCATGAATCAACGGTCTTTTCGAAAACTACCTTCGTGGCAGACGGACGTGCTTCAGGAAGACGTGTCTACGAAATTCCTATTAAAATATTTCGAGTTCAATTTTGGTAAGTGATAACAGTTACTTGCTTATTTATTCTTTATTAGGAAGGACTAAGCGAATGATACGAGTCGTCTATTATTAAGTCTATGTACGATTATAACGTGGCAGCACACGTGGCAGAAGATTTTTTTACTTGCGTGTTTGTCAGTTTTTGTTTCATTATAATTACTGTTATAAGTAAGTTATAAGTGTACAGTATAGTTGCGATCTATACAAGTCCCACTGCTGGGCAACGGCCTCCTGTGTTCGGAGGGTATTAGGGCATAGCCCACCATGCGGACCGCTCCCACTGCGTATTAGCGGACTACACATATTTTAAGTCTTTTTGTTATTATTTCGAATATATGCAGGTTTCGTCACGGTGTCTACCATCAGCGCCGAGCACGTGATAAGTCCGCACGTAAAATTATCAATTTCACCCATGAAATTGCTGGTATCTGGATTTGAAGGTTGAGGACTGAGGTTGCTCAATTATATTGAATTAGAACACACAGCGATCGGCTCAATATAAATCTTATGAAGTTTTAATTAATACATTAATGCTCATTAAAAATAATAGTCCCTCGCAGCCTCTGTCTATCTGTTTCTGTCCATACGCGATAAACTCAAAAAGTATTAAACGGATTACCAAACTGATTATTACAACAACAGACTTTTACTTTACTTGAGTGGTCCATGAGGAAGGTTTAAGTGTATTCATTACGATTTAACGTAAATTGGCTAAAATATAACGATGATTGCTTTATATGCTAAAAACTCGTGCAACCCAGAAAGAAATCTGCGGGTAGAGAAAAAATAAATATCTAAGCGTAAGATTCTTTGGATTGTTTGAGATCTGACCGACTAGACACGAATTGAATATTAGTTTTACATATTTATATATCTTTATATAAATTTAATTCTTCTGTACGTGTGTGTCACTGAATTCCTCCTAAATTGTTTAGATTCACAAAGTTAATCGAAAAGTTTGAAATTTCCGAATTTAAGATGTGTGTACGTATGTCTATTGTCTAGTCCACTAGTAATATTATAAATGTGAATGTAAGTTTGTTACGCTTTCACGCCAAACCTTCTCAACCGATTATCCTGAAACTGTACACATTACTAAGAATACTTAGAGGTATAAAAAAGGACATAGGATTATTTTTATTAAAAGAATACATTTTATACAAAGATTTATTTAAGGGCTTCAACGCGAGAAAAGCCACGGGTAAAAGCTATTTATAAATGCTTGTTTTACTCCCTCATTTAGCTGATATTTCTGATTAAATTAGTCTGCAATTCGTGTGTTTCAGACGCCGCCGCGGATGCTAGAAATACATTATTTTGTAATGGCTGTTACACGCTTCAGGTAAAATACTTTTGCTACTTTCTTTCTATTCGTTGTCGTACAAAGTTGATGCTCCTAAAACTGCCTTTATTTATTTGAATTAGAGCTGACCAGCTCGATCTAGTTTATACTTTCACACGAGTGAGGTAATTCTTTTAATTAAATTCCACACCTTTTTCTTGGCAATACGCCTGCAACATCTCCGGTTTCGTGTGTGTCGCTTGCGGTGGTCCTCACTTTTGGAATCATAAAAGTAAAAAAGTAAAGTAACAGACTATAAATGTCTTCTCTGTACACAGTGTATTAAGGCATAGTCCACCACGCGGCTCCACTGCAGATTGGTGAACAATCCAAGTCTTATTTATTCTTCAACATTATTTTTTAAATATTGAAGTAGAAGTACATTCATTTTATACGTGAATTAAATATTTAACAGTTGAGTATTGATACCAATTTTTTTTTATTAATTATTACATGTATATTCTTAAATAATCTATCACGCGCGCAACGAATTTACATTAAAATTTAATGGTTGTGTTGCACGTGAATCTGAAAAGCGCGCGAGTGCTAGATATTGCTGGCCCTTTAAAGCATGTATTTCAACAAATATCACATTCACGAGATACAGTAATTCTTCTTAATAAGTAGGCACTGACGTAAAGTGATGATTTCAACCAATGAATGCTGCTGTGATCTGTGATTCGTCCGTTTGAATTGGATCAAATAAGTACGGAGTGGATTTGTATAAATTGTAGCTACTTTCAAAAAGATATTGACGAGAAGTTGTTGATCCGAATGGAGCCACTAAAACACATACATATGGTATTGCGTATGGTATTACATACAAATCGGGTATGGATCAACAAATTTGAGCGGATCAACAAAAAACTGATCATACGAAACGCTGGATCAAACAACTCCTAGAAGGTATAACTATATATATATATATATATATATATCTATACACACACACAAGAATTGCTCGTTTAAAGGATAAGATACCCAAACGAACACAGGCATATAAATACGTTGTTTCGGCGTTTGTTAATACTTAAGGGTTTTTATTATTTATAGAGAATTGTGAAGTTGTTTAAAACAAACTTTAAATATTCAGCCTATAATTACATATCCCAGTGCTGGGCAAAGGCCTCCTTTGTAAATAGGGCATTAGAGCACAGACAATACTCCATCACGCGGCCCCACTGCGGATTGGCGGACTTCACATTATAAGTCTTCACTTCAAATTGATAATTTCATAATTTATTTTTATAATTTAAAAAAAATCCTCGATTACAGAAACGAACTACAGAACACACCTTTGTTATTTTTAGCTTTAAGCATTTCCGTGCACAATACGAGGCAATTCGTTTTAACTGTTTTTAGTAACATTTTCTTATTCAATATGAGATATTTGTAAATTTCAGGTGCAGATGCCTGAAAAGAAGAAGGCAGTTGGTGTGTTGCAATAAATACTACAGGTAAATAAGTTTTGTACTATTTCTTCTAGTTCGTTAATTGTAGAAACTTCAAAATGAGCCTTTTTAAACGGTTTTATTTAGCTCGACACGTACGGAATTTATTTGGGTCAAAAGTAGAAATTGAAATTTAAGCACCTTCCGGTTGTCAGATTGATATGAAATTTGGTACACACATTTAATTTAGATGACAATACAATATTGTAATTTTCAGTGCACAAAAAAAAAACAGAAAATAAAACCGTTTAACTTAAAAGTTTTTAAACGGTTTTATATATTATTTATAATAAGATTGCAAACGAGGCGGCGATCCACCTGATGTTAAGTGATGACCGCCGCCCATAGACATTTGCAATTTGCAACACCCGTGGGTTGTACATGCGATGCCACCTTTTTAACCGACTTCAAAAAGGCAAAAGGATCTCAATCCGACTGCATTTTTTGTTTGTTACCTCAGAACTTTCGACTGAGTGTACGACCACTGTTCGACTTCCGATGTGGTCCTGGTATTATTAAATGGTATTATTTTTAATAATAGTTAATTATTAGTCAATGGTATTGGATCTCGGGCTCCGGAGATACTTGGGCAACTCCTGGAAATCAATTATAAAATGAATACATAGGGAGATATTTGAAGTTGGTTTTGTTTTTCGTTAATAAAAAAAAAATGGAAAAACGTCACTCGCCAGGCAAAACTCAGAGGCGTAACGTTTCCACTGTTGTTACTTGTCTAAATGGAGCAACTCTGTAACAAACAAAGCGCTAAAACTAACACCGATTGCGTGATATGTGTGAGTGCCGCTCGTGTACTTATTGTAAACAAACTGTCAAGGTGTGCGTGTTTGGGACGCTTGCTCCAAATTAAAATTATTAACCTAAGTTTACATTATAAGCTGAGAGTCTTAAGAGAGCTGAGATAAGTTAATAAGCTGAGAGTCAAACAAAATAGGTTGATTTATTCAAGTGTTTATTTTATGCCAAAATGTTAGGTTTTATAACTGTATTGAATGTTGAGATTTATATTTTTTTAAATAATAGCTACTTTTTATGGTAGACTAAAAATGAGCATTAAGGTTTTTTTTTGAATGGCTTAACTTGCAATTAAACCTGCTCTAGAATCTCAAGATTCGCTACCACCTTAATTGAACATAATAATATTTCATGTTAAATACAAGTAATTTGTGTATTTCAGGCAATATGCTGAAAAAAGAAAGGCATCATTCGTGGTCTCGCATATTAACGGATTCAGGTAAAATAGTTCCGTAACGTTTTATAGTACCTACTTAACTTAATTTCTAAGATTAACAAAAAATATGAATTACGTCCAAAAGGATTGTTTAACTTGGCAACTCAAATAACATTTGAAAATCCATTCGACAGCTGATTCAATTAATTACTTCTACGATGATTAGTGTTTCAGAAGTCGGGCTTTAGTGTTCACAGTGGTTCAAAGTCTGCTGTTATTATTTTATATTTGGGTCTTTTTTCACTTTTTTTTTTTGAAAAAATGTAGTTGTTTTGTTTTATATATTTTGATGAGTTTGTAACATAAATTACACCTAAACTTTAGCTTTTGACACTCCTTCTCCATACAGCGTGTCAAATGAACACAAATAAACTTTACGTTACAGTTTTATCCGTAAGAATGTTATAAAATTCTTTGTTTAGGAAAATTTAATAACTCTGTAAATATTGATGTTTAAAGAAAGGTAAAGACACGCTGTATAAACGTTAACTATGCCAAATCTCGTAGTCTTCTGGGCATCTTAAATGCTGTAACGTAAAGGCACTACAATTTGCTTTTGCCACGTGTTACATATTATATAAATATAATCATCTTACGTGTTTCAGGCGGTGATGATGGAAACTGGTGTATCGTCTATTAATTAGTTCAGGTAAAAAAACTTTGCTTATGTTCTCTATTCTCATCACCATCCGACACCAACAGCTAATGTTATTATGTGTATGTTCCCGATTTTGATGAAATCAGTCCTACAGATTAGCACACAGTGACACAGTGTTTATTTAAAGTTACGTTGCGTTCAGATCAGTAGAATTTTTAAGCTATTGCATAGCTTTTATCGCGGGCTTTTAGCGCGGCGACCGGATCAATAAATTCCGTAACGAAAATAAAACCTTACACCCTCAACTCCGCCTACCATGTAGCTCGGCCGAGCGTTCACATGTATGTATTTGGTACGGTGTATAGGTATCTATATTGTATTATAGTATATACACAATAATATGAATAAAATAAATATATATACATATCAGCTGGAAAAATATTATTGTAAATAATATAAATAAGTTATATATTATCAATAATAATATATATTACTAAAAATATTATTTTAATAATTATAATTAAATAATATTAAAAATATATTTTTAATATTATTTATTAATATAAATATACATATCAAAGAAAAAATGATAATGCATAAATAAAAAAAATAATTATAATTGCATATGCACTTAAAAATGCTATGCAATAGCTTTACGGCGGCATTCCCCGAGTGCCATAGGTTTTTTTGTCACTTTAATGTCACTCGTGCGAAGCCCAGGGTTAGCACTATCCAAAAAAATTGCCAACTTCCTCCGAAAATTACAAATTATCTACATAATATAAACAATGTATGTACATATATTATACACAAAGTTCCGATTTAACAGAAGCTATTACTGTGTTGCAGGTGCAGACACTGGAAGGATGGTGGGATTTGGTGTCATACCTGTTGGCCGGTTCAGGTAGCATAGATTTTTTTATGCTTTGTTGTTTTTTTTAAGACAATTACGCGATTGAAGAATAAGCATAAAATGACATCATTTTATAATTGTACTAACAAAAGGCAGTTCGCCAGCTCGCTTGTCAACTTTTCACATAAAAAAAAACTATTAGTCTACCTACTAAAATTGAGATTCTGAACTAATCAATTTCATTATTAACTCAAGTATTTTGGAAAGTGCTCTCTCTTTGATATAATTTGAATTAATTCAGATCGGATTTTGGTTTCTAAATTTATCTATGTAATTCTTTTCTAAGAAAATGAGGCGCCTATCATATTCATTACGAATAGGGGGCCTTTTTATATAGCGCCATCTAGTAAATCTTTGAGGTACTTGTATAGTTTCTATTGGACATTAGTCTACTGGTACCACAAAACTTCGTGAGATGGCGCTATGACTGCTGATTAAGAATACCGACAAATGCCATTTTCCAAAAAAAGGAAGCTAAGTGGATTTGTAGCCCCGATATTTTGTTTGAAATGAGAATCTTCGTAAGTGCAACAAAAGTTCAATACTTTCGAAGATGTTCCATTATATAAGAACAAATTAAGAGAAAAATTCACCTTTATATAATTCTAAACAGATACATTTTTTTATGTAAGAAAGTGGCAAACGAGCTAGTGTAACACATGATGTTAAGTGATAACCGCCACCCATAGACATTTGCATCACCCGTTGGGTTGCACGTGCAATGAAGTGGGCCCCGGCTACCTCACTCACCAGACGAAACGCAGAAGTATACCTAATACTTTTACTTCACGCCGGCCTACTGTGAGGTCGTGATACTAACCCGGATGGACCTGCCCATTCGTGCATCAACAGTAAAATCTTCAATCTACATCATCATATACATAGACACTTATAGATAAGTGATCTTTATAAAAGGTTTCATTCACTATTTTAGATGTGGAGAAGTTTTAAAGAATCCTCATCTACATGTTATATTCTGACTGATGCATTTAAAGTATTTTTTAAGATTGACACACAGAAATTTTAACTTTTACCTTTTTAAACGGTTTTATTTAGCTCGACACGTACGGAATTTATTTGTTTATTTGGGTCAAAATTAGGAATTGAAATTTAAGCACCTTCCCGTTGTCAGATTGATCTGAAATTTGGTACACACATTTAATTTAGATGACAATACAATATGTAGTTTTCAGTGCACAAAAAAAAACAGAAAATAAAACCGTTTAACTTATAAGTTTTTAAACGGTTTTATTTTTTAATGAATGCATGACATAATATTTCTAAATTATGACACGCTATCATATAAGTCATTCATTACATACACTACATACACTTAAAAATCGTTGTTAATGAAATGAAAATTATACATTTTGAGACCCATAATTGCACCATAATCGGTCCATTTATTTTGAAGCTGTGACGCCGCAGACTGACGCACATATACACAGATAGACACATCAAAGTAATTATCTTTATATATGTATATATAATTCTTCTGTATATGTGTTTTTCACTAAACTCCTCCTAAACGGCTGGACCGATTTTAATGAAATTTTTTGTGTCTTCAGGTCGATTCGAGAATGGTTTAGATTCATAACTTTTTTTTTAAGTTGTCGGATTTAAGTCGTGTGTACAAGACAACGTCTGTGCGGTCCGCTAGTACTATTATATTATTTATATTGGTTTTGTTTTATTTTAGGTCTTAAAGATTGCCGTATTAGAAGTAAATCACGCGTTGCGGGGGGTGTCTCAAATCTGAAGAATCATGGACGAAAAGTACACTCAAACTGCTTCAGGTATAACTCTTTTATTGTTTTATTATATGAAAACTGTAATATCGATTTATCGCGTTGTTTATCGCGTTGTTTCAAATTTCAATTTACGGCGCTTATACAAGCTAACAAGGCGCAACTCCATAATATTACCATATTGTACTACTAAAATAATTTATCATACAATTGTTACATTGTAAATCGATACGATATGAACTTATTATATTAATGATGCTCGTACTAAAATCGTATATGAACAAGGGAACATACTAGTACATTTACATATTATTATGTGTACATTTGAACTTGAATGTTCCCTCGACTTTGTCGTACTAAGTAATACCGCACGAATTTGTTTGTTCTTCACGAGGAGAACAAGTATAATTTTCAACAAAAAAAAAACCAACTTCAAGCCTGAAACTAAAAAACATTGTTGATAACTATAATATTTGAGGATTGCTTTGATTTCTCTAAGATGCCGTCATCAGATCCGGGTTTCCTTATCATGGTACCATCATATCTCCTTTCCAAAAAAAAAATAAACATCAATATCGGTTCATAAATGACGAAGTTATCCGCGAATACACATAAAAAAACAATAAAAATATTTACGGTCGAATTGAGAAACCTCCTTCTTTTTTGAAGTCTTACAACAACATTATAGCCCGAAACACGGCTTTGTGTTGAAGTCATTTTCTGAATGCTAATGTTAAGATTAACCCGAGTAGTGTGAATATCGTCCATACCTTTAACGACTAAATTCCGTTAGCAAGGTGATATGATGTAGGTATAACCAGTACCCGTGGTGAACAATGGTACCGTCTCCATAAATCGTTAAATTTTGTAAGCCTTAAAAATACTTAAAACATTTCTGCAAGAAAAAATTTTGGGCCAAATTTACCGCCCCTTTAAATCAGCCGCCCTAGGCTCTAGCCTACTTACCTGCTGGTTCACTACAAAGGTTAGGTTAACATTGGTTAGATTTTCAAGATTTTATTATTTTAATGTTTTTAGTACTATTAGAGTTTATGGAAGTCGGTTCTTTGTTATTTTTTTTAAATTCAGAACCTCTAAAAAATAATTTGTAGAAAAATAGACGAAAGAACATTTTAATGTTTTATCTTAGTGTAGAGATCAGCGCTATTAAAGCTTATTATAAAATTTTTATTTAATCATTTTATGTTTTAAGCGCGGAATACTCTTCTACACTTCTTCTTTACTATATATCTACACAACTTCTTTAATATAAGTATAACTTTGTTTTAATATAAACTCTGCTTTTTTCAGGTATCGCTGATGGAGGAAGAAAAGAACTTGTGAATATCACGTTAGCTGATGGTTGAATGAAACTGAAATGTTCGTAAAATGTGTCATATTGCTTGATTTTAGCAATGTCCAAAAAGTCTATTGTATCTGTATATCAAATCGTAACCGTATCGAATATATTTATGATTATTAGAATAATGTAAATTAGAACTTATAATTATTTCTAGCATTTCCAAGCTTTATATTGCTTTAACATACTTTGTTCAGATACGAATTATTCTAAATGTTTATGAAACAATGGTACGTCAAGATAGTGTAATTTTAAGGTTTCAATGTAAGGTTTTCGTGTAAACAGTCAAATTAAGTTGTAAGTGCCTACATGTTTTTAGTGTTTTGTTCCACCAATGCTAAGCCTTCTCTGAGTAATATAGGTTATGTGATTAAAACTTATATCACGTTCACGCGCAACTATGTAAGTAAATAACCTGGCCTTCTTACTGACAATCGTCTATCCACTCAATACTTAATGTCATTGATTGGTTTACATTGCAAAGTTCCGTCTATAGTTTGTTATAGGACAATACAATACAAAGGGATTAATAAATACACGTTTTAAACTAAAAAGTAGAAAATTTAGGTACAAGAAATTTATTGTTTTAAAATTTATTTACTTTCTATTTTTCAGTTCTGCTAAGTATAAAAGCGGGTTTTTGAAGTTTTACTTCTTTAGGCGCGTTAGGAAAAAATTATGAGTGAAATTTTAAGACGCGCGCGCATCACTGTAACACAAAAGTCACACCTTTGAAGCTGCCCGCTAAACCACTTATTGTAGATGGCAGCATATTCTCAATCACATTTGCCCGTTACAGTACTCATAAAGAATGTAGATGGCGCTTTCATAATTTTATTATTTATATCCTTTTCCATTCTTGATTATTTTATTGTAACTTTGCATGCAATCAAAAAATATTTTTTTTATGATGCCAAAGAAATATAACTTCTCACGCACACATTTTTTATTTTTTAAAAATTTTTTACATGCGTTCTTGACACTAGGTCACTACAGGGTATCGAATTTGGAAAATAACTAATCCTGAAGGTCCTGATTAGGATAATGGGAAAACTATTTAAATTATTGCATTGTCATGGGTCTTTGACGAGAGTGCAAAGTTTGATTCAAATCTGATCGTTCAAAGTGCTAAGGTTCTAGTTAAGGCACGCTGGAACAAAAGTGCGGCCTCTTACTCGGTCTCTGTCGTATAGGTAATTGACTCCCATGAGCTCGCTACAGCACAGCTCATTTGAGTTAGGAGAGCCAGTGATAACAAACTGTAAGACATGTTGGGCGTCAGATAGGCCGCGATACAAACAGGGAGCGCAAGTGAATGAACTTGTGAACTATGCAGTCTTTCCTGTTGTCAGAATCGTGAGTACAGTACAGTGAATAGGTACAGTGGGAATCTCGTTAATCCATTCATGCGCGTCACTAATTAGA